AACAATAAAAAACAAAACAACCCCCCCCCAAAAAAACAACTACAAAAAAGAAAAAGCAACACGAAGTACAACAATAGCAACAAGAACAACAACAACAACAACAACAACAACAACAACAACAACAACAACAACACCACCACCACCACCACCACCACCAACAACAACAACAACTACAATAACAACACACACACAGCAACAACAAACAAATGTGAGGCGTGCTGACAAAATGAGTTATTTTTCGCAATCCACAAATTCTGATATTGACCAACATAGACACTTAGGTCAAATTTGTAGATTTTCTATTGCTGCCATATTCTTAAAGTATAACACGCCTTTAACTACATGTATTTCATATTTATACATTTTAAAAGCTTCACCAATAAGGGGGAGGTCTGGTGAGCTAAAAACGTTTTATTCACTGACTTAAATAAATGAATTTAGCTTAGTAAGACTCAGTGCCAAGGTGCTAAATGATCAGGGTGTTATTTATGGCATATATCACGTATTGCCGTGGTGAAGGCGGCCATCTTGAAAATAAAGACAAATTTCAAATTCCTGCAATTTCAAACACTAATCAAGATATTCTACTTTGTAAGATAGGAATGGAACGGGAGGACATAGATTGAGGTAATAGGTGACTGTTTTTTAAATAAATATGTTGTCATGTCGTTTTCTTGGATGTAGCATGACTTTGAATTTCATGGTGTAAAAAGTGTTGAACATATATTCCCCAACCTGATATAAATGCTTATGCCCCCTGTCATATACAAATAGAGACAAAAATGACAAGCTCATTACCTAGAAATATGGATAAACTATCACTGTGTCAAATTTCAAGTCACATGGTACTAAGTAAGTGAGAGATTACGATTTTCATGGCACGCTTTCCAAGAAAAACACAGTTAAGAGAAAATGGTCATTAAAGTAAAAAAAAATATAAATATATATATATTAAAAAGGGGCTCCTGTTGCCTAAAGGCTCAGATGTTCGTCTCTCATTCAAAGGTCCCGGGTTCTAATTCGGGTAACGAAGGAAAAAATTCCTTCTCTAAAATTGTCTCCTTTCAACCCCTTTCCTGCTCTCTAGCAATGTTCTGTCGTCTGCT